AGCTGATCAGCTGTTTGTCAGCTCAGCGCGGCAGCCATGTAAATTTAAATGAAGCCGCGATCATTTAAATCGCGGCTTCATTTGACTTTGCCTATGTGTCTAATCTACATGCCTCTGACGACAGAGGCATGTAGTCTAGACACAGCCTTTGGTTTCCCCTCCACTGGACTGCCTCGAAAGTGTCCACAACCTTTCTGGAATGGGAGACCAAGAACTGGATACAATACTCCAGACATGGCCTCACCAATGCCAAATAAAGGGGAATAATAACTTCTCTAGATCTGCTGGCAATGCTTCTACTAATGCATCCCAATATTCCATTAGCCTTCTTGACTACAAGGGCACACTGTTGACTCATCTACTGCTTCTCATCCACTGTAATCCCTAGGTCTTTTTCTGCAGAACTGCTGCATAGCCAATTGGTACACAACCTGTAACAATGCTTGGGATTCTTCCGTTCCAAGTGCAGGACTCTGCACTTGTCCTTGTTGAACCTCATCAGATTTCTTTTGGCCCAATCCTCCAATTTGCCTAAGTCACTTTGGATTATCCCTACCCTCCAGTATATCTACCTCTCTCCCTATCTTAGTGTCATTTGCAAACTGTCTAAGGGTGCAATCTATCCCCTCATCCAGGTCATTAATAAAGATTTTGAACAAAAATGGTGCCTGAACTGACCCTTGGGGCACCCCGCTTGATACTGACCACCAACCAGACATCGAGCCATTGAGCCCAACAATCTAGCCAGCTTTCTATCCACCTTACTGTTCACTTATCCAATCTATACTTCTTTAACTTGAAGTGGATCTGAAGGACTACTCCTACCAGAATCCTTTCTGGAGTTGGAAAGTGACTGTTGGTAATTTCATTGGTTTGTGCATAGGTTCTTTCATTGTTTTAATAAGCTTTCTCTGTAGTGCTTTCACATTATGAATAGATGCATTTACTTATAAAGGGCTATGTGGTGACTTCCAACTGCTACCAATTGTGTTGCGCATAAATGAGAGAGAAGTGTGCATATATGAGAGAAAACAAAGTGAAGATGCTAGCTTGTTTAGACAGTCTATCTTGCTGGGAATATCACATTCTAGCCAGTGAATTGTGCAACCTGGAAAAAAGCTTGGTCAGAAGAGCAAAAGAGATCCAGTATCTCCCTAAGAGAGGTAACAGCTGAGGAGCTGGGAGACTAGAGTGGGTGCCCTTGAGGGATTATGCAGGGGAATACAGATTAAATTCCCCTGAACTGTGATATCACCCACCACTCTAGTATCTGAGTGCCTCACATTCTTTGATTTATTAATTCTCACAACACTCCTGTGAGTAGTATTATGCAGATGGCATATAGGGACAGAGAAAGACTAAGTATCTTGCTCATATTAAAAATAAATGGTTGTGGCATAGCAGGAATTGAACTCAGATCTCCCCCAGCCCAATGGACCATCCTTTTTCTGTGATTTACTGAATTGAGGCAGGGCTGGGAGGAACAGTAGCACAAGTGACCTATATAGTTGTTCTCCTTGCAGGCTTCTATAGAATTTCCCTTTTAGGTACTTGGAAACTGTTATGTCCTCTCTCAGTCTTGTCTTTTCCAATTATTTCAGTCTTCCCTCATAGCTCATGTTTTCTAGACTTTTAATCATTTGTGTTGTTCTTTTCTGGACCTTCTCCATCTTTCTTGCAATGTGGTGCCCAGAACTGGACACAATACTTCAGCTGAGACCTCATCAGCACAGAGTAAAGCGGAAGAATGACTTCTCATAGCCTTGCCCACAACACTCCTGTTAATGCTTCCCAGAATCATTTTTCTTTTTTTACAACAGTGTCACACTGTTGCCTCATATTTAGCTTGTGGTTCACTATGATCTCTAGTTCCCCTTCTGCAGTACTCCTTCCTAAACAGTCACTTCCCATTTTGTATGCTTAAAACTGATTGTCCCTTCCTAAGTGGAGTACTTTGCATTTGTCCTTATTAAACTTCATCCTATTAACCCCAGACTGTTTCTCCCAGTTTGTTCAGATCATTTTGAATTATGACCCCAACTTCTAAAGCACTTGCAATCCCTCTCAGCTTGGTATCATCTGCAAACTTTATGGGCGTACTCTCTATGCCAATATCTAAATCATCGATAAAGATACTGAACAGAACCAGTCCCAAAACTGCACCCTGCAGAATCCCACTTGTTATGCCCTTCCAGTATGACTGTGAACCATTAATAACTACTCTCTGAGAAATGTTATCCGTCCAGTTATGCACCCAGCTTATAGTAGCCCCATTGAAGTTGTATTTCCCTAGTTTATTGATAAAAAGGTCACATGAGACTGTACCAAATGCTTTACTAAAAGTCTAGGTATACCACGTCCACTGCTTCTCCCTTACCCACAAGGCTTGATATCCTATCAAAGAAAGCTATCAGATTGGTTTGACATGATTTGTTCTTTACAAATCCATGCTGGCTGTTACCTATCACCTTATTATATTCCAGATGTTTGCAGATTAATTCCTTAATTATCTGCTCCATTAATCTTTCCTGACACAGAAGTTAAGCTGACTGGCCTGCAGTTTCCTGGGTTGTTCCTATTTCCCTTTTTATAGATAAGCACTATATTTGCTCTTTTCCAGTATTCTGGAATCTCTCCTGGCTTCATGATTTTTCAAAGATGATAGAGCAGGTATCTGAGACATTAGCTATCAGTTTCTTGAGTATTCTAGGATTCATTTCATTAGGTCCTGGTGACTTGAAGACATCTAACTTCTTTAAGTAATTTTAACTTGTTTTTTCCCTATTTTAACTTCCAAATCTACGCCATTTCCACTAGCATTCACTATGCTAGGTAAACAGTCACTACCAAACTTATTGGCAAAAACCAAAAAGAAGAGGTTGTTCAGCACCTCTGCTATTTCTACATTTTTTTGCTATTATTTCTCCCTCTTCTTGTAGTAGTGGGCTTTCTCTGTCCTTGGTCTCCCTCTTGCTTCTAATATAATGTGTTCCATGTTGTAGGCTTATTGATTTGGAGCTTATATCGTTGTACTTGCTATTTAAGAATCTATTTTTTTAAATTATAAGCCTTTAAAAATCATAAAAGAATCATGCCCAGTGTGCACAGAAAAAACCTTCATATCCAGAACTACTTTAAATAAACGTATACTATTAATAACCTTAATCAAATTTACATCAAGAATATAATACACTAAACTGTTACAATCATCTTAAGTAAGGATGTCAAGGACTAGTCGACTAATCACTTCCCCCCCTTGCTGCCTCTATCAGACAGAGGCAGCAAAGGGCGGAGGGGGGAAGGGGTACTTTAAACAGGCAGTGCCGCACAGCTGATCCTCTGCTCAGCTGGGCAGCACTGCCCCTTTGAACGCCACCTCTACATTTCAAAGGAGGAACCCCGCAGTGGGCTCAGCTTGCCCAGGCAACGTTCAAAGGGCAGCACTGCACAACTGATCCCCAGGGGCTCAGCTGTGTGGTGCTGCCCTTTGAATGCCATCTCCATGTTTCAAAGGGGCGCTGTGAAGCCCGGGGTCAGCTTGGGAGTCCCCGGCTGACCCCAACTCCGCATGGCACTTTAAGTCCCCCGCTGACCCTGGGCTCCATGCCGTGCTGTGGCTTTGAAATGAGCCACCACTGGGGACTCTTGCACATTTCAAAGCTGGTACACTGCATGCAGCCCGGAGTCAGCGGGACTTCATGCTGGCCCTGCACACAAAGTTCCGCATTCCTCCTTTGAAATGTACAAGAGTCCCAGCGAGGACTCTTGTACATTTCAATGGAGGAATGTGGAAGTGCCTATCGACTAGTCGAGTAGTTGATAGACATTCCATCGACTACTCAACTAGTCAATTAACCGCAATTTAACATCCTTAATCTGCAGTACAAATGGTAATTCCAGAGCGAGAAAAGCAATTTATTGCTTGATAGGACAGAAATCCAGTGCTATTACTTACTTGTGCAACATAGACCAGACCACGGAGAGGATCAACAGCAACACAAAATGTTTGCCCAGTGAAATATTCTGGATGTTTAGGCCAGCCTACATCTAGCTTGTAAAGCCGTTGTTCTATCGTCCGAGGAGAGTAGAAAGCAACTGCTCTTAATATCTTAAAAAAATTAAAAGTAAAAGACTATTAACAGTTAAATTCCATGAGGTGGAATCACTTTCTATAACCCTTTAGCTTCTGAATAATTATTATTAGGGTAAGATTTTTCAAAGACAAAAATGGCAGTTGGGTGTCCAATTTCCACTGAAAATCAATGTATGTTAGCTATCTAACTGCTATTTGGGCCTTTGGAAATCTTCCTTTTTCAAGCCAAGTTAATCAGCATACTTGAAATGTTAAATCAAGTGAACATACACCAGTTACTTAATAACAAATGTTATTCTGACATGGCATAGTCTCTGAACATGTGAGAGAAAGGATTGGATTGTCTCTAAACAGTCCAAAGATGCTGCAGAAGGAATTGTTTCTAAATAGTTCAGAGAAGCTATGGAATTACCGAGGCAAAATTACACAATTGTTTCCTGTTTTGTTCAGTCTTCGGCATTTAAAATGTACTGAATTAGTTTTAAAAGCTGGACCTAATGGAAGGTGCCAAGCCCCTGTAACAATTCTGGACAGTGTGTTCCCAGTAGCCTGGTGTATGCTGCAGTGTTCACCCTAATTTTTCCATTTATGAGCAGTGTGAGTTTTGTCTTATGCACCAATACTAAAGTCATATGAGCTTGTTTGGAAGTGTGCCACTGTGGCACCCATCAGTTACTAACACACACATATATATAAAATGTTATGGAAGAAAAAAATATTAAATCAAGGAATAATTAACAACGGGCATGACTTTAAGTGTTTATTTAATATGAAGTCAAATAAAATTAATACAGCAAAATTTAAAGTAGCCAGCTTCCTCTGTTTACAGCCTTCTCCCAGACACTCCCACAGCTGGACTAGATGATTTCTTGGGCTCCCTTCCAGTCCTATGATTACTATTGGAATGCAAAACACCAAGAGGATGTAGACGGGTTTGCTAGCAATATCAAGAGTATGAGATCCAGCAGAAAAGTTTGAATTACAGCATCTCAACTTTTATTAGGATACCAAGGCATGACCACAGTGCATCAATGCAGGAATGTTGAAAGAGTGAAAGATGTATCTAAGCCTCCTTTGTGCCTTCTGTATTTTCCATCTTGCCAGAGGCAATTTACAGCAATTAACAAACAAGTCATTGTATGAAACTATAGTTTGTACTGACCTCACTTATGCTTCTCATGTAGACTACTGTAAAACCTGGCAAATACAGGCGGCCCCCGACTTGCGAAGCAATCAGTTCCTGGAGAAGCGTTGCAAGTCGGAAGGGAGGGGGTGTCGTAACTTGAACCCGCATTTACAATAGGTGCCGTGGTAAATGCGAGCCAAGGATGTAAGTTTGGGGGGTTTTGGCCCCTTCTGCACTTACAAAAATGGTCGTAAGTGCAGGGGTCGCAACTCAGGCCGTCGTAAGGTGGGGGTTTCCTGTATCTCGATGAGTTGATCTTTCCCTTGGAAGATCTCTGCTTACCCCCCGAAAGATATACATATCCCTGATGGAGAAACATTGGAGAAACCTACAAGTTTTGTCATAATCATTTTCTGTTTCATTGTATGGGCAAGAACATATGTTGTTTTCAACATCAGAGTGCCAACAGATGATAGATTTATGATTCCTCTACCACTTAAAGTAATTTTAGTTTTCAGTTCAGGAAAAAAAATCAAGGTGAGGTTTGGAAAAAAGGAACCAAAAGAATTCAGTTTACATTTCTTTTCTAGTAATAAACAACGGGACAATTTTTGCTAGACATTTGCTATACAATTTTTGCTATACATTGTCTAGGGACAATCTATGCTATACATTTTCTAGGACTCATGTCACCTAAAGGTCTCATTCAAGTTCTTATGGGTTGGCATTAGACACTGATGGCCTGATTTCTAGAAGCGCTTGGCATCTGTGCCAATGCTATGTTTTCATACGAAGCACTCATTTCTTTGTTCATATTGTGCAGCCGCCTAAAAACACACAACCCCGGTCCCAGCCCACCGGAGCAAAGCAGCTGCGCCCCATATGGCCCCAACCCAAGCCCACCAGAGCAGAGCAGCCACTCCTCACATGGTCCTGGCCTGCCCAAGCAGCTGCCTACCACATGACCACATCCGCCGGAGCAGCCGTCCGCCACATGGCTCCCAGCCCCATCCACCGAAGCAGCCACACCACTCTCCAGTAGGAAGGCACGGGCTGCTGTGTGGCTCTGGGGAGGAGGTGGGCAGGCTTAGAATGTTTGGTGTGCTGCTGCGCCAGCACGCACCTTACGGGGAACCCTGGTGTGCTGGCTAAATGAGGTTACTCTGAATTGCATTCAAGACAATTCACCCCAAACATCCTGTGTAGTGATATTGTTTTGAATTGGGTAATACGGAAATAAGTCATAGCATCTGTGTTTAAAGAGGTTGTGTGAACAGAGTGGTGGAGGCGAGATGTAATTTCTCACTGAAGGAGACCCAAAACCTTTACTGAAGAAAACGCTTGGTTACTAGCCCTGATAGTCACCTGATAGTCACAATATGCAGTTAACTATCGATGCCCACAGGGATGGAGAGGCATCTATGCTTCACCTCACCTTTCTCCAGAGGTAGAATGCTGGATTGTGCAAGGCAAGCAGGGAAAGAAGAATAAAAAAGGTCAAAGAACCCTAAATGCTCCCCCAAGCCTTAAAAGAATTATTACGCAAAGTTCTGTATTACTATGCCTACTAAGGAAGCCATTTGTCAAAAAAAACTTTCTAAATCTTTTTTATCTGGATTGTTACAGACATACTTGCTAACAGGTATTTTGAAATAAATGACCAAAATACAGTAGACTTCCGATAATCCGGCACCTTTTGGACCTAGGTGGTGCCAGATTATCAGATTTGCGGGAGAATCAGGAGGTCTTGTACAGCTGCAGGCCTTAACAACTGGCCAGGACACAATCTCCCTCCCTCTCCCCTCCCCTTTACTCTTCCAGTCTCCTCTGTGTTGTAACCTGATCCTCCTCCCTCTCCCCTCCCCTTTGCTGAAGCAAAAGGCTTTTCTCTATACTGTAACACAATCCCACTCCCCCCACCCTTATGCTCAGTCTCCTTATAGCCAGCATGTGTCCCACTCCCCGCCCCCCAACCTTATGCTCCGTCTGGTTACAGCCAGCACGTGTGCTGAGTGGCAGGCTTTTTAATCAGCTGGTCAGGAGCGCTTGGCATTTTGATGCTGGAGTATCGGGAGTGCTGAACAGTTGCATTTCGGACTATCGGAGTTTTACTGTAATTGAAACTAATGTAATTATTTTGTGTTATTTGACAAATAAAATATGCAGAATATGAAAATTCTGTGCACAGAATTTTTAATTATTTAGCACTTCTCCCAGGATCATTTCTCTAGGGTGCTTTCACCTTAAGAATAAATGTGTTTGCTTATAAAGGGCTATAGGATAACTTGCAATTGCTGGCAATTATGCTATCCAGAGCCTTCAAAGAGAATACAAAGTATAAGGGTCAGGAATTTTAACGATTGGGTATTTGAGTAAACATGTAACCGCTTGAAATTTCAGCGGTTACACGTTTACACATGGAAGGGGGGAGGCAGAAGCAAGTGCTCACGGAGCATAAAAGCGGGCTTCCCACAAGAACTGGTTCCCATATGCCCACCTCCTGCAGCCTCTAGAGAGGAGGGGACAGGCGACTCAGAAGAGCCGGTTCCCCGCGTGTATTGGCTCCCATCTCCCCCTCTCTTGCTGCCTTTGATTCCTTTCCTCCAATACCATGAAATCCTATCTTCTGTGTCCTTTACAAATTTTATATCACACTCTTCACCATGCTGGCCAGGTCACAAATGAAAATATTAACTAGTGCCGGATTCCTGCATGGCCCCACTAGATAAACTTCCTCAGACTGACAGCAAACTAACCACTATCATCTGTTATGTTCCCACCTTACTTACATATTGTAAGAGTGCTTACCTGAAGCAGCGCCTATGCAAAGGCCCAGACAGACAGTTCTGCACCCTGCTCTATCCACAGGCACCATCCCTACAGTTCCAGGCCAATAAGAACAGCGGGGACTGCATGCAGAGTCCCCAGCTGCTCCTACGCATAGGAGCCAGAGGGGAAACATTCTAGCTGCATCCTGGGAGCCCCGAGCTGTGAAGCGTAACTGGGAACCCGCCAGCCCTGCTATGCAGTGGCTCCCCCAACTAGACAATCAACAGTCTAGGCCACTGATTCTCAAACCTTTTGGCTCACAGCCCATCCTGCTCAACAAAAACCTTCCCCTGGACCACCAACCAACCACCCATGAGGCCAAAAGAGGTGTAGGAGTGAACTGGGGAGTTTGGGCGTAAAGGGGATGGAGGAATGCTTACCTGGCTCTGAACGACTCAGCGATCCCAGGCACCGCTCCCCCGCGCCCACTGGCCAGAATCCCAGCCAATGGGAGCAGCAGGGAAAGCCTCCGGGCTAGTGGTTTCATGTGCCGCTGTTCTCCTACCCCAGGGGAGGGAGAATGGGGGAGCAGGGAGCCACTTCCTGTCCCCACAAGCCGGATTTGGCCTGTGAGGTTTGCCCCTCCCCACACACTTCTCTGCAGCAGGATGCCAGCACTGATGCTTCAACCTCGCTGGGGTGGGGGGGTTGGAACGTCAGAGTAGGCTCCCAGCTATGGTGGGGGCAAGCCCTGACCCCACAGCCTACCTGCAAAGATGGTCCATGGACCATACTTTTGAGAACCACTTCTCTAAAACCATGCTTTGCCTTCCACACTGCCAACTCTACCATTCAAACACACCTGGATATCTCACACACCTGAATTCATGCTCTGACTCCCTATTCATTCCCATACTTCTGTCACACGTCCTAGTCCCCATATCTATCCCCACATCCGTATACTCTGTCCTCAAACTCTGAAACTTATTTAGCTTCTGGAACATCCAGACATCCATACCCTTATACTGTACTTGCTGTCAGAGAACATACATCTGAATATGCTGGAAGTAGAAAATGAAGGCATGATGGTATCACTTGCTTTATAAGGTTATGTCTAGAGCCCCTTAGCGTGCGCGAGCCGGGTGTAGCGTTGCAAGGCCCTACTGGTCCCTGAGGGCAGCTTTGTCACGTGGCACAACAGACTCGCTAGGAGCATGTCACGTGACTCCGGAACGGCGAGGTCAGAGCTCCCTCCCAATTTTTTTGTGCCCAGGTTGCGCTCCGTAAGGGGTGACTGCTTGAGTGCCTGAGCGCAAGAGAACATTGCACAGTTGCCCACCGTTTTCAAACAATGTATACCAGTCCCCTCGGCGGGATGCTAAGAGTAGGGCATCATGAGCTGTGCAAAAAAGAAACCATTCCGCTCACCTTCAGCCTTTCTGCTCAGGCAGCTAGCAGTGGGGAGGGTCTCCGCTACAGGAAGGGACCTCAGATATACACTAGACGTGGGTTGATGATGTCATTGAGGCGCGACACGTGGGCATTGCGGACCCCAGTGGCGAGGAGGAACCGTGTCGCCTCTGGTTATTATTGCTTGTGCTGGGCGCCCTGTCGCTTCCTTGCGGTGGTGGGGGCCGCGGAGCTGGGCGCGGCGCGTGCTTGGGGTTGGGCGCGGCAGGTCCGGAGTCGGGGCCACTTCCCTGGCGGCCTCCCCCCATCGCGCCAGTGCCCCGTGTTTGGTTGCTGCTGGTAACAAAGAGCCGGGAGCTGCGCGGCGATGGGCAGCGGGGGCGCCCGGAGGCTGCCTGGCCTGAGGGCCGCGCTCTGACGGAAGCGGTAGGAGGCTGGAGCAGGTGCACAGCCCCGTATCCCCGGCGGCACCTGAGCCAGGCGCTGCCCCGCTCTCACCCCTCTTCTCAGGGCCCCTCTCTTCCTCCTCGTCCGCCCTGTTTCTTCTTCTTCTTCGTTCTTCTTTCCCCGTCCCCCACTTCCCTCCCTTAATCTGCCAGTTGCGAGGCAGGGAGCGCCAATTCCCGTCTCCTGATGAACCGTGCATTAGACCAAGCATTTATATCGTGACTGAAATCCGCGCTTTTATCCAAAAGAATCACATCCCTTGCGCTGGCTTTTTTTCCTACCGAATTTTTATTTTTATTTTTTTTGCATCTCTGTAAAGTGTCTTTCTTCAGTGCTTTTCTTCTACAATAAAAAAGACACTACTGCAGTAAAAGTCTTGCCTGGATGTATTTTTTTCTTTAAATAAAAATCTGCATTGGATGAACAAGTAAAGATGGATAAGAAATCATTTGAGACCGTGCTTGATGAAATTAGAAAGGTAACTTTTTACACATTCGTTTTAATTGTGTAACTGCAAATTCCTTTTTGGAGTACAGTTGATTTGCCTTAATTTTTGTTCCCTGTGAAAGGCTGGAAAAGCCAAATTATTGTCTGCTCTTCAAAGAGCAGAAAGAAATACAGAGAAGTCATACCGGTGTTTGCTTCATGTAAACCAAATTTAGTCTAGTTGAGACTTACCTTGCCTAGTATTTGTTTCTATCTTCATGTTTTCATTGGTGAGTGATGGTCTCCTGACATTATGTTGCTCAAAAGTTGAATAATTCATAAATTCATTCAATATTCTTAAAACTGTAAATGTATAGTAGATATTTGTAAAAAGTGGTTTTCAAAGACTTAATTTTTTTCAAATGGAAATGGAAATCTTAGTCTGCAGATCCCCCAGAGCTCTGTGGACCACAAGTTGAAAACCATCGTTGTTTGATAATGACAGACTTTTGTGGGCCCCTTAGATATAGTTAGTATACCCCTTAGTTCATAGATTACAGTTTAAAAACCAATGTTTTAAATTATTTTGTTCTGAATTTGTAAGTAATGTATTACATTATAAAGTTAAAGCATGAGAGTGAAAGACCCCTGATCTGCATTATGTTTCTTTCTGTTTTAGAATTCTTGTGAATATTCTGTCTAGTCAGTTAACCACTTGAAACCTCAGGTTTTCTCAGTCTGTAATTGAAATTAGGCATACTGTGGGATTTAGTTCATTCATGTTTATAAGATGCTCTGGGATTCTTAGATGAAAAGTGTTAATGGAGTTAAACATAGTGTAAAAGCTTTAATATTGATCCCATATTGTGCATTTTGTACTTCTTAACTGACTTTTGATAATTTATGACTTAAAGTTTTTGAATGCTTATAGTTTGCTTAGAAAACCAAGACCAGATAACAGGCATTTCAATATTAAACTAGATCATGCTTCATCAAAACATTTGAGACAGGCTTACTTTAAAATATTTAAATGGACTTGCTGATTCTATAGCTTGCATTCTCATCCCAGATGTGATGAAAATATAAGGAATGCTAATATGATCCATATATTCTAGGGATATTTTAAATTTTCATCACTTTTTTCCTTAACCAAATGTAAGCAATTTGTTTACAAAGTTGTGTTATGGAAAGTTAAACACTACTATTATTCTGTATGGAATTTAGGGATGTAATAGTGTAGTTGATTAACAAATAAGCAAAAGCTTATCGGTTAATGCTATAGACTACCCATATTTCCCCCCTCCGCCTTGCCAGTAAATTTTTAGCGGGCTGGCCAGCAGCTCCGTTCAGTCCTGGCTTGCGCCAGGTCTGGGACCTATCCCTGCTGCAGCTCTGCATTTAAAGTGTATTAGGAACCATGCGTGGAGGTAGCCTGGCTCAGTTCCAGCTTGCACCAGGTCTGAAAGCTCAGACTCCTGACGGACAGGCAGCCAGTCTGCGAGAGGAGCTGATTTTTAAACTGGCTTTACTTGCAGACCAGGTCCTGCTTGGCATTCTATGCTGCTGTCTCTAATAGAGAGGCTGCAGCACGAAGTGGCAGAGGGCTCCTTGGGAGTGGGGCGGAGCACACTAGGTGTTGGCTCCACCCCCTGAGGACTATAAAATAGTCAGGTAACCAAGAAAAATTCATGAGATTAATCGACTATTCAGTTAACCGATATTTAACATCCCTAGT